GAGGGGAGGGGAGGGGAGGGGAGCAGCCTGTGGTGGGAGCTGCCAGAGGCTGTTCTCATGTGCCCCAGCCTCGCAGACACTTCCATTACCCACATGAGCCCTGACAGACTTCCAGCTCCCCAAGGAAGAAGCCCGAGAATCCCTCCTGCTCCCTGCACTGGCCCAGGTGGGGGATGTTCTGGTTTGATACAGAGCTCTGGGGRAGCTCTGCAGCAGGAGAGAGCTTTGAGGAGGTGTTGTCCCATGGGACATTGTGCTGACAGGGACGGAGAGTGGCAGCAGTGGGGAAAGAGGACAGGAGGGTGACTGGAGAGGCAGGAGCTCCTTGTCACAGCCCTGTCCTGCAGCTCTTACCATTCAATGCTCAAAGACCTGGGCCGGAAGGCAGACAGCTCGGCTGAGCCATACTCAGCTTTCCTTCTCTTCTCCTGCTTCTGCTTCACCGACAAGCGGTGGGCAAACCTAGCGAGGCTGCTCTCCGACCTGAGGAGGGAGACGAGAGGTGTTAATGGCACTGCAGCCCCAGCTCACCACGGCACACCCACGGCACAGTGCCAGAAGCTGCTCAGCACCGAAAGGAGGGGACTCCCAGTAGGACAGTGRCACCGGGACAGTGGCACCGGGAYAGGATGGCACCGGTCCTGGAGGTGGGAAGCGGAGGAGCAGCAGCAGTTTGGTTTGCTCAGCAGGACAGGACCAGCACAGGTCCATGTTAGCCAAACTGCAGCCAGGCAGGCTGAGTGCCAGCTGCTGCTCCCTGTGCTGCCAAATCACCTCCCTGAGCCRTGTGCTCGTCCCCAACTGCAGCCAGTGACAGCCAGAGCTGGGGACACAGCTGGGGACACATCCGTGGACACAACCAAAGCAGGCTGAATCAAAGGCTACACGCTCCTTAAGAGAAATACTGTGGCTCCTGTGGCCTCCCGGCTAGGGCTCCCAAACACCGGGACATGGTGTCCTGTCCTCCCTGAGGAGGACTGACATGGAAATCAGCCCACAGCAGASAGGTTTTGGAGGAGGAAACAGAAACGTGTGGGAGCGAATGGATTCAGCTGCAGGACCCGCAGGTGTGACAAAGCCCCTTCCCACCAGGTGGGGAGCTCCAGCGTCACTCCAGCCCCAGGACCTGGGAAAGAGCATCTGCAGGCTCCCGAAACACACTGCACATGCTGCTCCATCCCAGAGGAGAGCTGCTGGCTCCAGGCCCACCTGCGCTGTCCCCAAGCCCGGTGGCACACAGGCCGGGCTGTGCTGAGAGGTGCCTGCCCTGCAAACACCCTCAGTCCTCTGCTTCCCCTGGCACAGGGAGCCCCCAGAGCCTCCCGAACTGAGGGCTGGCACCCCCAACCTGCGGCTGAGCACAGCACCACAACCCATCCCTTCTGCCACCGTGGGAGCTGGGCAAGGCAGCCTGGGGAGCTGCAACACCTGAACTTGGGCACACAACGAGGCTGGTCATCTGCCAGTCCTGCCACACACACTGTCACAGCCACTGCCTGCTCTCCTCCKTCAGTGTGCCAGCACAACCTGCTACCACCACTCAGCCAGCCCTGGGCCAGGCAGGGAAGGGGAGGAGCGAGCTGACAGAGGTCCCAGGGGATGAGGGACAGAGTTGGGGGTGACTTCGAATCTACACACATTGCTAGAGACAATCCTCTCCCCTCCCCTCCCCTCCCCT